ATCTCCCTGTCAAACCATTTTATGAGGCAAACTCTAGGTCACACTTAATACATATCAGACTGTGGGTTTCTTTTCCTCCCAATGGGTTAATGGATGCTGTGGGAATAAACATGATGGACTAGAGCTTTGATCTACACCATGTCTCTGGATTTCTGTGCTGGGCTTTGGAAGTTTAGGGGAGGCTGGTTTTGATGACTATTAGGAAAGCTCAGAGTTGTATTCCTTCCTACCTATAAAGAAGCTCATGTTTTGAGACTGGCATTCAATGGAAGATCCCAGTAAGACAACATCCAGGGAAAAATTGGCAGTAGGATCCAATGTTTCCTCTAACTTTTTCCACCTATGTGCAGAATAAATTTTGTTCTGTGCACTGGGGCATGTGTGGATGTGCACCACTAGTAGAAACACAGGCTGCCAGCTGTGGGTGCTTTGCTAATCATCTGGGCGGCATTTGACTCTCTCCTGGGTGGCCGCCAGGGAACACTGGTAGGAGCAAAAGAAAGAGATCCATTTTTTTTTTCTGCAAGGCCTGTTGTTCTGATACAGCTACAATCACTGAGCCACGCCATGGGGAATCTGACTTTATTTGGTCTTTTACCAGCGACACTGTCGCTCTGATCCATTAGAAGCTAGAGGAACTCGGGTTGGTGCTGCTTCCCCCTCCTTTCCCTGGCTGTACTTTTCAAAACTCTTCATCTGCTTCATATTAAGGCATCAGTGATGGGCATGAGCCAGAGCAGACTCAGCAACCGCCGCTCTCCCTCTGTAAATATTACCCTGCTTAAAAAAATTCTCTCCTAATGCCAAACAGAAAACTCAGCCCTTTCATGTGGTTGAGATCGGGGAGGGGAGGGGACAGTCTTTGTGGGAGCATGTTATTGTCGATAGAGTTTGGAAGGGAAACGAGATTCCAGGCTGGCTGGCTTCATTATCACCACTAATATCCTTCTGTATAGCTCTCCCATATGGCTTAGGATGGGTCTAGCCCAGCAGTGGGCAACCTAGGCTAATGAGTGGGCTGTATGAGTCACCCTCCTTCATCTCAAAGGGCTACAAGATGGCTATAACCAACAGTCTCCTGGGAGAGGGCACTTTTGCTAATTGCGTTTGTGTACCTAGAATTTGCAGTGTGTGCCAATTGAACTGTCTCAGTGCTTTGATTGGATGCAGAGGGAGCACACGTCTCTCCTAGTCCATGTTATATCCAAACGGCACCTCCCTTCGCATGCCCTGGCTTTACATGCATTTCATCTTAGTGTAGGTTGAACCTCTCTAGTCTGGCACACTCTGGTCTGGCAAGATCTGTGGTCTGGCATGATATGAGTCAGCCAGATGTCCACTTATGAAGGGTGTGGCCAAGTTTCACACGGTCCCATAAAGTTTGCTTACAGCTGCCAGTCCTAACTCTCAGGATTCTGTGCTGTTGTTTAGCTCTACCTGACCCCTAAATGTCTGTGAACAGCTCAGGAAGCAGTGGAAGTGTTGGTAATGCTGCTAGACCATAGTTTGGCAAATCCTCTGGTTCGGCAGCAGTCAGGTCCACAGAGTGCTTCACTAGAGAGGTTCAACCTGTAATACCAGTAGGAAAAAACTGACATGGACAGAAACCCGTGGAATCTGTCAGTCCTGCGCGTGGGCAATGTCTCACGGGCCGCACACAGAAAACTGCAGGCCACAGATTGCCCACCACTGATCTAGTCTATTGTCTAATCTATTCCCCACAAAACTTGCTGCAGAAGATGATGCTCCACCAAAACCCATAATTCAGAGCTGGAGATATGTTTGAGCAATTCAAGCGAGGGCCCAACACCTCGGCCTCGGTGACCCCGAGGGCTGGCTGCCCCCAACCTCTTCCAGGGGGCACCGGCCTGCTCCCCCCCCACACACCTTGCTTGGGGACAGCAGAAGCTGCCCTCCACCCTGAGAGGAGCCACCTCACTTGCGGAAGAGGCGAGGGATGGAAAGGAGACCCCTTACAGATCAGTGATTTTGTGGTTACAAGATGCACATGCATTTTGACAGCTCCATCTTGTATATCATTGGCGAAATCCCAGCCCATGCAACCAAGGGACCCCAATTCCTTTGGCAATCCCAGACTTCGTCGGGCCTAGCATGCTTTTCTGCAGGCTGCGCTGCTTCAGTGGGCTTCTAAGAATGACGGAAATGGAGCAAGGAGGGAGGCCTCGTGGACTAGGTTGCGGGAAGACGGTCCCCTCGTTACGCTGAGCGTGTGAGGCAGGAGATAAGAGCGCATGGCAGAATCATGTGAGCATAAATGTGTTTCTTTTCTGACCGAGCTGCGCAACTGGAGTCCATACCAGGGTGATTATTTCCTAATAAGCCTATGAGCATTGGGAAGGAAGGCTCCGGGGGGACTTGCCGTGTGTGTGTTGGGGAGAACAAATGGAACGCTTCATTACGCTGCTGGGGTCAGATGAGGCTTGTTACCAGAAAACTGCTTGGAGTCCCCTAGCTTCCCCTTTCCTGATCTGCTCCAGGGCTGCTGGGGGAGGATCAGCAGGCACTTGGCCACCAAAAATCCCCAGGGCACAAGAAAAATATTTGTAAAGACGTGTGCGGCTCAGGTATTTGCTGTGGACAGGCACCAGGAGTGTAATGGCTGTTGATCTGATTCCTCATCTCATGCCGGGTTCAGGGCGCCTCGTCCCTCAAAGGGCACCTGACAGTTTGTAGAGGGGCTGCTCACCCCAGGATCAGCAGGCACTTGGCCACCAAAAATCCCCAGGGCACAAGAAAAATATTTGTAAAGACGTGTGCGGCTCAGGTATTTGCTGTGGACAGGCACCAGGAGTGTAATGGCTGTTGATCTGATTCCTCATCTCATGCCGGGTTCAGGGCGCCTCGTCCCTCAAAGGGCACCTGACAGTTTGTAGAGGGGCTGCTCACCCCCGTTAGAGTTTGGAGGGGGCCTCCCCCCCCCCGTTAGCCACACCTGCCAGAGGAAGGTAAGGACCTCTCCCCTCCATGTACATGCACTCCGCCTGAGGAGAAAAGCCTCTGCCTCTTCCAGAGGCCTGCGGCGTGACAGCCTTCAGCCTGTCCTTGCAGAGGAACAGGCCTGCGCTCTGCTGGGCCAAGAGGGGGAATTGAGCTCCAGGACAGAGGCCCCTTGGGGGAAAACACTCTGGATGTTGCCTCTCCTCGCCAGTAATTTCAATCAATGGAAAGAAGTGGGGGAGCTAATGGGACCATGGGGCTGTTCCCCAGAGCCAGAGAGGAGAGGGGGAGTTGTAACTCCGCTTCCTCCTGCTGTAATCGGTGCCCCCCCTCTGTTTTAAACCCAAATGGCCCCATTTTATCGTTTCCATGGCAGCTTCTTACGGAGGCAGGGCGGTTGCTCCTCTAGCTCCAGGGTGGCCCAACTTACTGACCCTCTAAGCAGCCCACGATAATCTTCAGACGTACGAGAGCCAGGCGCATCTGTCGGAGCCGGGGGCTTCAGCCCGGGGGCCAGGAGCGGACTCATGCCGGGATTCGAGGCTTTGGGAAAAGTGGGGCTGGAGCTCTGAGCCCCGGCAGGCACCTCCCCACCTTTGCTGGATAGAAGCCTCCTGTCCCGACGCCCCACCGCAGGACAGGAGCCCCGAGCTCCCCGTCCCCAAGTCTGGGGGATGGAGAATGACTGGGAGAGGGGCTGTGGGGACCACACGTTAGCTGCGAAGAAGCCGCATGTGGCTCCTGAGCCACGGTTTGGCCCCCGCCCTCTCCGCTCTTGCTGGATTAAAATAGAAAACAAGGCCGGTCAGGAACCTGGCAAGTTCCTCCCTGGTGTAAAGGTTCTGCAGTCCATGGAGATGCTCGGGGGGGGATAACATTGTCCGAGGGCCTTGCCTCTGAATCCACAAGAACTTGTGATTTCCTGGAGGTCTCCTAAATGCAGCCAGTGTGCTCTTCTTCTTGGCTGCAGAATCCATCTTAAGAGGCAGCAGCATACTCTCTGCATTTCCACCCGACTGCGGCAAAGTCGTGTCTGTCTTCGGGGGGCGGGGGAGCGACCTAGTTTCCTGCTGTCTCCATCTGCTGCAATGAGCTGAGTAACCGCCTTCGGAAAGAGCTAGCGTAGGAGTGTGCTCCTTGAGTATCCGGGGGGTCCTGACAGGACCTTCCACTCGGGGCCCTGATTCAGGACGGTGCTCGAGTGTGTGCCTGACATTAAGCATGGGAGCAAACTCGTTGAAACCTCACTGGGAGGTGTTATTTACCCCTCCACATAACACAAGAACCAGGAGTCACCCAATGAAATTAATAGGCAGCAGGTTTTAAACCAATAAAGAAGTATTTTTTCACACAACACACAGTCAACCTGTGGAACTCCTTGCCAGGGGATGTTGTGAAGGCCAAAAGCATAACTGGGATCACAAAGGAATGAGAGGAGTTCTTGGAGGATAGGTCCATCAGTGGTTATTAGTCTAGATCAGTGGTGGGTAATCTGCTGCCCATAGGCCACATGCAGCCCATCGGGGTTCAATGTGTGGCCCACGAGATGTTTTGTTTACTGTTACCCACATGCAGGGTTGCCAGATTCTGCTGTGGCCCACTCTCTAGCCTGGCTTGCCCATCGCTGGTCAGGGATGCAACCTTATGCTCTGGCGGCTGTCCCTAAGCCTTTGAGCCCTAGTCTATGCTACAGAGTTAGGTTGACAGCTGACATCGACCTAACTATCCCAGTGTCTACACTACAACACTCCTCCTGCCGCTTTAACTCGCCCGCGATGCTGCCCGAACAAAATCACCTCAGCGGAAGGCATTGTGCTTAGGACAACGCAGTGTTGGGGTGCTGTATCGCTTACGCTCCTGGAGTGGCTACAGCTTTGGTTCGTTTTCAGCTCAAAGGGATGGGTGGTAACTAGTGACTCGCTCACTAATGGAGCTTCCTAGAGAAGACTGTTGTGTGTTTAATTCTGAGGGTCTTCCATCCATGCGGTGGCCAGGCTTAAACCTGTGGGTTCAAGCGGCTCTCCATTCTTCTTTCCTAACAGCATTCTGAGTGCCTATCGGGTGTCCGGTAACTTCCACGCACGCTTCTCTGCGCTGTCAAGAACCTACATTTACCGGCTGGTGACTGGCTGTTCTCATCATTCAGAGATACCAGTGTTTGAAAGGGATCTGTGCTGGGCTCTCTCAGAAGAGTAAGTTAATTCAACGAACAGAACTTTTCAGGAGAATCCTCCTTGTTGGATTCTGCAGATGTTTTTCTGATTGGTTGTTTTATAAGGTTCAAAGTGAATTAAGATACGTAGAAGTAAGTCTGTTTTAATTCTGAATACGTATGTCCACATAGGGCAGGGGCGAGGAACCTTTTTTGGGCTGCTGACCCACAGAAAAATCAGTCGGGGGCCGCGCACAAGTGAGAAGTAAAAAAGAAAAGCCAAACCCTCACTTCTGTGGCCGACTGACAAGGAGAAAGACTCTCCCCACATTCCCTTCACACACCAGAGCCTAGAGGGGCCTAGCTAGTAGACTTTGTGTGCTCTAGCTCCACAGTGGAATGGCAGGGGGCTGGAGTGCCAATGTGGTCTCCCCAATTCTGGAGGGGGGAGCCTCAAGACTTGGGGGCCAGATCCAGGCAAGCCAAAGGCTGCATCTATGCCTTAGGTTCCCCATTCCTGACATAGGGGTTCAATGTGGCATAACAAATACACTTTAAGTTCACCCCTTTACTTAATTCGGATTCACTTTCCTGTGTCGTCAAACCCTAAATTTCCAGGTGAGAGACCAGATTCCTCAGCTGGCCCAAGTCAGGTTTGTACAGTGAAATCAGTGGATCCACACTGACTTCCAGCAGATCTGGGGTAAGTGTAGAGGTTTAGCTTAGCTTGCTTATCGCTAATAGCATATCTGCAGTGACTGGGTCTCAAAGGAGTGCATCTGACTGCCGTTCTCAGCCCTGCCATGGCCAGAAACTCACAATGGAGCAAACTTTTTACAGTGTCTGCAGAGAGTGAGAAGCATCTAAAATGGAGACTTTTTTTGTACGGCTAGTTAATTCTGACAGTTGAGGGCACAGCTATCCAACAAGAAACAACTGTGCAGAAACCCATGACCTTGCAGATTTCAGGTGAGGCTGTACAGAGCGGACTATTCAGATTGACAGCTCAGTTTTTTTGTCTTGCTTCCGTTTGCGAATCCATGTAATTCTTCTCCTGAGTCACATTTTCCAATGCTGTGTGGTTGAATAATGAAAGAATGCAAGTGCCAATCATTCGTGAACAACCCTACAAAAACACATCAGTCTGCATAAGCCAGAGTTTGTAAAAACAACGAGGAGTCCTGTGGCACCTTGGAGACGAACAGATTTATTAGGGTATAAGCTTTAATGGGTAAAACCCACTTCATCCAATGAATTGGAGTGGAGTTTACAGAGGCCAACAGATTGCTATATGCCTAGATTGTTATAAGGACAACAAACTTGACATAGCAAACCCATTATTGCAGATTGGTACCTGTGAAACAGTACCTTAGTAACACAGCAGTATACACACAGAGGAGGATACAAACATTTTAGTAAAGAAACAAAATGTTGGTTTCAAGCTTGAAGATATTATAAATAGTAACTTTAAGAATAAAACAATGTCAAGCTAGCCTCATTCTTTTTCACTAGCATATACTATAATAAATATACCATTCATGACCATCGGGTTTTTTGGAGTTTTTCCATCACGTTATAGTAAAGCAGTTTTATAACTTCAAGGTCAGTTACAATAGTTTTTATCACCACTAATGGAATCACTTGACATTTTTCATTACACGTATTTTTATAGATCTAGTATTAGAATGACAAACTGTCTCAGCAGACAAATCAGAATAATATTGGTTAAATAGGTGGATTCTTTTTTGTGGGCTGGGAAAGGGAAAAAACCCGCTTAAAACTGCAAAATTATATGTTGTGTGCACACAATAAACCCTAATCTCATGTTTTAATGAAATGACATTTAATTTACTCCAGATGTTGCAGTTAATTTTCTCACAAGACAATACCACACAATGACAAAAGACCGATTGTAACAAACTCTGAGTGGAAAGCAATTTCCTAATTGGATTGATTCTTACTCTGACAAAATCCAGTGAGAAAATTCCCACTGATTTCAGTGGAAAGCAGAATCAGCCCTAAATGTGTCAGTTACAAATCCCCTAACCAGATCCCTTTCTGTATTCCCAGTATCCTCTTTAGCACTAGTTGGGAAGTGCTTTTTCTTGTTCCTATGAAAAGTTTCCACAAAAATGGGGGAAAGTTTTTGATTGACTTGTTCTTCAAAAGTTTTTTGGGTGTTGGTTGAAAAACTGAAAATGTTCGGTGAAAAGCTGCAGGGGGTTGGTGGTTTTCTGACAACTCCCTCCCCTCACAAAAAAAAATTCATCAAAAATGGACAGTTCCTGTGGTGATTTCCTTTTGGGGCAAGGGGAAAACCCCACAAAAACAAAACCACCCTTCCCCCCCCCCCCAAAAGGAAACCCATCAACCAGTTTTAAACATTTTGGATTATTAAATCTGAATGGCAATTAGACGTCTGCACGTCACTCTTTTCCCTTTGCACTGTCTATTCATGGAGAGTTTGCAGTGCATTCAGTTTGGGCAGTTGACCGCCAGTTTCTCTTCCATCTATCGTCAGTTCCACCACAGCTTGGCTGTAGCAGGCAATTCCACATGGGTGAGTTAGAGAATTGTCCAAGTGTTGTGAATTTCTCTGCAGTTTCCTTTTTAATGTGTAGGCCCCTGATCCTCCAGAGAGGTTTTTCATGTTTTGCTTTCCAGGGCAGTAACTTTGACGGAGGTGTTCCGCTCCTGCAGTGAGGGGAGAGATCAAAGTTCTTTGATAGATGCTGCCTTGTGCAGATCTTTGCAGTAATAGGTCCTGAGTGGTGAACGGAATTCACAGCTGGGTTGGAGTTTGGAATAGCCCCAAAGTTCAGGGTGTATGGCACCATGGTTTTTGGTTTGGGCCATTATGTGATAGGGGGTCATTTGCAACATGGGGGTTCCTGTGCCTCTACTTACCCCTCCCCACCTCTGTTTTTCTTTTCTAGCGTGTCTGAATCTAGAGCTTGGACTTGGATCCTTCTTTGAAACTTCTTATTTAATTCCTCTGCCCCCCAGCATTGTTATGCCGAACCTTTCCTTGCTTCCAGTCCCTTCCTTCTTGCTCTTATGTATCTCGCTCCCTTTTGTTTCAGCCATCTGAACGTGCCAGCCATGCAGGAAGCAGCGAGCTTGCTGCTAGGGACCCATGACTTCAGCACTTTCCGTTCGGTCAGCACGGACATGCCTTTCAAATCGCCCCTTAAAACCCTGGACCGGGCAGAAATCAGACCCTCTTCTGGCTTCATGTCACACCACTATGAATACAGGTAAGAACTCACGTCACTCTGAGCCCTGTAAGACCCTTCTTTTATCTTACACCATGATTGGCCACTGCTTCTGCAGTGATGACCACAAACTGCAGCTTGCGAATTCTCCACTGTCCTCTGCCTTGCTCAGTAACGTAAGACCAGAAACTAAGGGGACTGCAAGCAGCAGCCCGTGTCAGAACAAACCAAGTAGCCCCTCTCGCTGCCTGCCCCACCCTGGCGCGTGGATCCAGCAGAGGGAGTGACATATAGTGTCATTCTTGCCCTCTCTAGTCAGTATCGAAGTGCCACATGGCTGGCAACCATCCAACCTGATCTGGCTCTGGCTCGTTGCGTCCTCTGCTCTTCTAGTGAAAGGACACGTGCTGGTGGTGCTGGATGGAGCATTTTCCTAGTGCCTACTTGCCACACTGTTGAGAAGGCCAAGAGCCTTGTCTGTAGGGGATGAGCTTCATTTTTGCAAGGATCAAAGCCATCTTTAAAAAACACTCGCCTTTTTCTCCTGCTCGGTGATGTACCCCACATTAAGGTCAAGAATCTAAACTGGAGCACTGAGCTGGTTCCTTGTGGCCTACGGAAGGCTGGGCTGGATTGTTATTGCGTCCACATGAGTCTTGCTTGCATTAAGTATGCAGTGAATTAGCCATATTGCGTGCCCCACCCCCTCGCCAACTCCAGCTCGCTCGCTGGTTTAGAGGGGGCACTTGAGACAGACCTGCCTGTGAGAGCTTCCGAGAGGCAGGTTTCTTCATCTTCAGCCTTGGCCAAGTGGGGCAAAATAAGGGTCTGATCCCGTGCGATGTAAGCAGCAGACGTTGCTGCAGCACGTAGGGATGTGAACGACTGGTCAACTATCCGATAGGCAAAAGCTTACTGGATAGTCAACACGCTAGTCAACTAGTCGCTTCCCCCACCCCTTGCTTCCCTCACCCCTTGCTGCCTCTATCAGAAAGAGACAGCGGTGGGAGGAAGAGGAAGGGGTGCTTCAAAGAGGCAGCACTGCATGGAGCTCAGGGTCAGCTGAGGATTCCCCCTCTGACCCCGGGTTCCCCCACGGCGCTGCCGCTTTGAAATGCCGCGAGGAGCACGGGGCCAGCCGGGGACTGCTTGAGTCCCCTGCTCACCCTGTGCTCCCCCACGGTGCTTTCGCCTTTGAAGGGTAGCAACATCCTTGGGGCTGTTGCAACACTTCAAAGGAGAAGGTGCCCTTATCGACCAATCGAATAGTCGATGCAAATTGCATTGACTATTCGATCAGCCCATTAATCTACATTTAACATCCCTAGCAGCACGCACACCTTCCTCTGTTGCCAGCTGCCCAGCCTTGCAGCTTGCAAGTGAAGCAGTTAAAGGAGGAGTCCTGTGCCATCTCAGATCTTTGTGGTAACCCTGGTAGGCACAGTGGCACAGTTTGAGTATAGTAGCAGGGGGATCTGTGTAGGTGCCTGGGAAGGGTCAGTCGAGATCCAAGCTTTACAGCACCCAGAGGTTGGTTTTTTGTTCCATGAACCACATTTACAAAAAAAAATGGAAGCCTTTAAAAGCCTTGAAAAGACCAGTGGAAAAGAAAATGGAGCCATGTTTGCACCCGTGTTCATAGGGTAGTGAAAGAGCAATGACCACAGCTGTCCCAGCTGGGTCAGACATGTAAAGCTAAGCAGGGTTGGGTGTGACTTAGGGATGTTAGAGTTTAGCCCTCTCTCCGGGAGGGGATCCAGCCGCCCTTGCCCACCCAGCTCCCACAGGGGTTGCTTTTCTGCAGCAGCTTAGTTAAGCTTCATCGCTGCACGTGGAACCGCTGAGATTTTTAGCAGTTACACAATTACCTTCTTCAGCGTCTTTTCACATCCCTTGTGAGATCTGTACAGGAGACCCAGGGAGGAGAAACGGGGTCTCTCTGGATTGGGGTTGGCGTCTCAGTGGGAGACGCTCTCTCTGGCTGCCACAGCCCTGCATGCCAGACATGCCCTCTCTTGCATTGAGTCTAACACACAGGCCATGACTTGTGTTCATGAAACATTCCCTGGCATGTTTTCCCCAGAGCAGGAATTCTAGCCCTGGTTGCCCTCATCTATTCCAGTTTAGACATTGAAATTCCACCTCCCCAGCCCTGGGAGTGGTTCAGTCACAGAGAACCTGTCTCCTGTCTTTGCCAAGACCGTGGGGCACCGTTACCTGCTGCGTTCCACTCGAGAGGCAGCTGTATTTTGTGGGGAAGAAAGCCGGGAGTCCCCTGCATATAATTTGCAAAGTGGGGCTGGCTTAATCAGGAGTTAATATGCCAGAGCCGTGCAAAGGGAGGTTATTTTCAGCACATCATTGGCGTTGCTTGTTAGGATAAGTGAAAAATCAATGGGTCTAGCATGCACGTCCAGAACAAAGCAGGCATCATGATGGCCTGTGAAATGAAGAGACATGGTGGGTCATATTGGAAAGGCACCAACAAGAACTCAGTGCTTATAGGGATGAGCCATCGTGGGGGGAGAATACGCCCGTGTGTTTTCCGGGCGAGGTAGCATCTTGGTACTAACTCCGCCACTGCGTGATCGTAACGGTGGCCACCCTGCTCCGCTGGGCTTCTGAATAAGCTGCCTTTCAGGTAGCGTCTGGAGATAGGTGGCAAGGGGGCAGGCTGCTGGGATGCAGCCGAGATCGCCGGCCCCTTGTGCCCTGCAGCCTCTTTGCTGTTGCTCTTGGGCTGCTGGAGGCAAAGAGCCTTCCTCCATTGGACAGAGCTGAAGTTCAAAGGCCTCTTTATTTCAGGGATCCCCTCTGTCCCCCTCAAACCAGTGTGTCCTCCCGGGCTGTGTTCTGCTTGAGGGGACAGTGGCAAGGAGGCGACGGTGGCAGAGCCGTCAGCGCTGTGAGGAGTCAAGCTGTCTTCCCATTAAAGGCTTGTCCTCCTGTCCATCCTGGAGCTCTGGTCCTTTAAACCCCACAGCTCTGCATAGCTAGGCATGCTTATCATTGAAGGAGGGCGTTGCCACGGTAGCTAACCAATCCCCTCAGCGCCTCAGGTGGAGAGGCAAGAATCACAGGTGGGGAAAGGGGGATTGTCCAGCCTCTTGGTCCATGGTAAACCCCGGGTGAGTTCGGCCAAGCTGGGACTGGAACTCCAGAGATGCTGCCTTGGAGTTTCTTCTCTAACCACTAGCCAATGCTCCCCTGTATTTATACAGCTTGTGCGGCCTTGCTTCCCTGCCTGTCTCTGATGGGACCTGTGCAGGCTCGCTTCAACTAACAGGCCTGCAGTCTGCTCTAGGAGTGCAGGGAGGAGCCAGGGGAAAAGATAGAAGGGAGGTAAAGCAGGAGAAGGTGATGTGGCAAGACAGGGAGCTCTCCCTCCAGTCTCACAGCTCAACAATATATTGCTCCAAGTCCAGCCACCAAAGGAGGCGGCCAGAATTGCTAATCTTTACTGGCACAATCCATCCAAAGCCACGGGCCTGTCCATTGTGACATTGGCATGGGGACATGTGTTGCCGGGAGCCTAGGGAATCTGGAATTGGGTAACCTAAGTGATCACACTTCAGGGGAAGAGAAGTGTAATTTAGACCCTCCTGTATTAGTTCTGCTTATTCCAGTGAGTGGCCACAGTGGGATACAATCCACGTGTCACCAGTGCAGCACGTCTAGATTAGGGGTTTGCGATGGAGCAACCAGAGCAATGTCGCTACCCCAGTGCCAGGATCATAAATGTGGACAGGCATATTTCAGCACTAAGGCTGCTGCTTCAAACCCATCCGTTGCTCTTTGGTTCAGAGTGAAGTCTCCCTGCAGTGAGCCCAGCTCCAGGGAAAAAAAAGCCCAATCGACTGGTAAGGAGCGTGCTACTGAGGAAAGCTTTGGCTTGGCAGAGCTTTCTCTTCTTGCAGGTCTGTTACCCACTTGTGAATGTTTCATGTGGTCCAGCGTGGCTTTGTGTGCTTGATTTCAGTGGAACTCTGTGGATTTCAATTGTTTGAAAAGGGGAATGCAGTTTCTAGTAAATCCATGCCAAGCAGCATACAAGAGCCTTAAAGCTGAATCGACAGCATCAAATGAGTTGCTGGCAGAATATTTCTGCTGTGTTTTGGTGATGCACAAAGATAGCGATTTTATAACACATCATTTTATGGTGCACTCCTATTTTATGCATATCTCGAGCATTTAGATTTGACGTTTTCAAAGGAGCCTAATTTCAATGGGATTTGGATGATTAATTCCCGTAGATGCCTTTAAAATCCCATCCTTAATTATTAAAATCTTGTTAAACCAAGCCACGATTTCTCTGATTTAGGGAATAAATAGTTCTGAGGTTATTTATCCTTTGTATTCATCTCCTGATTATAATTAATCTGTAAGATTTTCCCGGGGTGGGGAGCAGTTGTCTCTTATGAAACTCAGCATTCACCTTTCCAAACCTGTAATTGACAGCCAGTGTATCGGCAGCATTTCACTGAAGTAGCAACATGACCACAGTTTGCAGCACAAGGCCTGAGATTGTGTTAACCGCATATAAATAGGTTTTAAGACTAAGCTAAGAGGTTTTTGTTTTTTTGGGACTATTTTTTTTAAACTCTGGTGGGTGGGATACAGAGAATGGTAAACCATGATCCTCTAGCCAAATAATGCAGCTTTTCTTCCTGAATCTTTCTTCCCCTCTAAACTAAAACCAAGCTTCTGAATTGACCACTTGTCTGTATAAAAGGGCAGCTGTTAAAACGGCTCCTTCCATCAAACTCAGTGTTGCCTGGCAACAGTGGAAGTTAGGTTTGTGTCCCATAGTACAAATCACTCTTGAATGGCGAAAGTCTTTGCCCGATCGCAGCTTCCTTGGGAGTTATTTTCCATCACCTGTTTCTCATGGAATATGCATTAAGCCATGCGACATGCTCGGTTCTGCCAAGTGAAAAGCCAGTCCAAAGTTTTGCTTGTAAGCAGAATTGTGTGTGATATTAACAAGACGAAGAAAGTTCCCCTTATGGAAAAGTCTGGTATAGGATCTGGTTCGCTCTAGG